CTGCTCTTACTCCGTTTGAGGTATTGATTCTCGTGTTTTAGGCCGATTTCACGCTAGGTTGTGCTTGTTTATGATATTTCAGGTCCTAGTACGTGAATGGAGGCTTGGGAGCGAGTTTGAGGTCGATTGGACAAGGATCGGACGCATGGCGAGGTTCTGAGGAAGTCGCACGGGCACATCCACAACCCGCATGGCCGTGCAAGTGACCAGTTTGGCCGTGCGGGATTGTGCGTGGGCACGCACGGCCGTGCAACATATAATCCTGGCCGTGCGGGATTGTGCGTGGGCACGCACGGGATTGTGCGTGGCCACGCACGGCCGTGCAAGGTGCAATCCTGGCCGTGCGAGTAGGCTGAGGTTCGACTTAATGGTACGCCGCGTTTTGAGGTGCACGACCAGAATGGTGTTGTGCACGGCCGTGCACCTGGCCGTGCAACTCGGGGAAACCGGTTTTAAAGCCTAATCCGAGCCAAAAGTGAGGGAATCGTATTTTGAGAGCAAAAACAGAGCCCTAGAGAGAGAAAGTGCGAAGAACACATCCTAGAAGCTGTCTTAGAGCTGGATTTCATCGAATCGAGCTTGGAGATCGTCATAGGAGTGAAAATCATCGTCCCGGAGCAGATTATCCTCATCGTTATGAATATGACTAATCCGATTCTTGTTTTCTCTTCTCTCTCTATGGAGTAGAACCCTTCTCTCACTTGGGTATGAAGAACCCTAGTTCCTTGTGTTAGGGATTTGATTGTAATGACTTGGGATGATATTACTGTTTGATTTTAATCGAATGACGCATGTTTATTGATTTGAGTCTGATCACCTTTTCTCAATTTCTGCTGCAACCTGAGATAGATAGAATCTGATTAGGTTGTTAGAGCCTCTTCATTCGATAGTAGGAGATTGGCTATACGAGAATTAGCCAGTTTACTGCTTTGTACTGGTGTTCTTGGCGCCAGTAGTGGAGTTCTGTGTTCATAGCCTCAGCTTTCTATCCCGGTGAAGACTAGTCGTCTGCCGGGTAGTTAGACTGAGAGGGCTTGGTCAGCTTAAGAGATTCCAAGCTACTGTCGGATCTTCCGCAGTCTAATCAACAGTAAATCAACCCAGGGAATTGCAATTGAACCTAACTAAGGGGCTAGGGGGACTCAATCCCGAGTGACTCTTGCCTGCTTTAGAAACCCGAACAATTTACTGCTTTCTTGTTGCTTTTACTTTTCACAACAATCACTCGACTTAGTTTGCTAGATAATAGAGAATCACGGAGTAAGCAGTAGATCTAGACCCCGGGTTGATAATTAAACTTGCTTATACTGCAGTCCCTTTCATTGGTTACACTTGGCCATTGTTAGGTGTTGTGTTTTAGCGTGTCACAGGGTTACATTATAGCCCCGAGAGTTGATAAAATTTGTCTAACACCAATCGAACTCCAGATAAGGCCCTTGTCGAACCTTCAGTGAAAACTAATAGGTCGTCGGCAAAGCAGAGATGGGTAAGATCAACTCTTTTGCATTGAGGATGAAAAGGAATCATCTTGGAGACTGCAACTCGATTCAAAAGACCCGTAAGTGGTTCCATAGCAATGGTGAACAGGTAGGGGGAGAGAGGATCCCCCTGCCTAACCCCTTTTGCATATTGATAGAACCCAAAGAGACTGCCATGTATCGAGACACTAAAGAATGCTGAGTTCAAACAGACCAGAATCCAATCAATAAAAATCTGTGGGAATCCCATTTGAATCATAACGCAAGTAAGATATCCCCAGTGAACAGAGTCAAAGGCTTTCTTAAGGTCTATCTTAACTGCACATCTGGAAGGAAGTTGCATTCTATGGTAGTTTTGAACAACTTCTTGGGCCATTAGAATGTTTTCCAGAATACTTCGTCCATGAATGAATGCTGACTGATTTCTACTAATTACTGATGGGAGGACAGTTCTGATGCTATTAGCCAAAAACTTAGCAACAATTTTGTATAAAATGTTGATACATGCAATAGGTCTAAAGGAACCCATGTTATCTGCATTAGGAGTCTTTGGTACTAAGGTAAGAGAGGCTGAGTTCATACCTCTTGGAAGAATTTTGTGCTGCAAAAAATGCTGGACCCCTTCAATGACATCAGTGCTTACAATTCCCCAGTTCCTTTGAAAAAAACCTGCTGTCCATCCATCTGGCCCAGGGGCCTTTGAACCATCCATAGCAAAAAGAGCATCTTTGATTTCCTGAGCAGTAACTGGAATACATAGAGAGTCTTGTTGTTCCCGATTTAAGGTAGCGTGTAAGCATTCACGAATGATCTCCGAATCCACACTAACTGCACTATTAACCACTCCAAACAATCCCTTATAGTATGAGACTGCTTCATCAGCAATGTCTTGTGTATCAGTCAGCTCCCTACCATCATTTGCCATGATCTTCCTTACCTTTTTGCAAGCTGCACGAATGATAGCAGACTTATGGAAGAAACCTGAGTTCTGATCCCCCAAAGTGAGCCACCTTATTCTGGATTTTTGTCTATAAAAAGTCTCTTCTTGTTTAACCAGTTCAGCATAGACTTTGATAGACTTATTCATTTCTGAAAATAGAGCTGGAGCTGGATTGGTTAAAGCTTGAAGCTGTAAAGATCTACCCTCTTCTCTTTTGTGCTTAACCCTCTCTAAGATATCTGAGAAGGCATTTTTATTGAGTTTGTGTACTTCAGCCTTGAGCAAGTACATCTTCTGTTTCACAACAAAGAAACCCCTCCTAGAAACTTGCTGAGTCCATATGTTTTGAAGGATGTCACAATACGAGGGATGATGTTCCCATATATCAAAATATCTGAATGGATTGGGGAACTTCCTCACAGGAACTCTTGGTATAATCAACATTCCACAGTAATCAGAAAAATCAGGAGCAAGGAATTCAGCAACACATTCAGGGAAAATGTCAAACCACTCTACATTCACAAGTATTCTTTCTAGTTTTTTAGCGATGGGATTGGCTTGCTGCTGATTAGCCCAGGTAAATACAGGACCAGTAGCTGTGTGATCGACAACCTCCATCTTATTAACCCATACACGAAACTCAGACATGCTACTATTAATTGATACCTCGTTTGAAGATTCAGAGGGAGCCAATATGGCGTTGAAGTCCCCACAGATGAGCCAGGGGGCCCCTTGAATCTTCCATTTACTCAATTCCTTGTACGTCAAGAGTCTCTCATTTTCATCATTGGAACCATAAACTGCTGTGAAAAAGAACTTCTCACCCTGCCTTGTGGAGACTGCATCGTGAATAAAATGAGTCTCTTCTGCTAACATACTCAATGTAATATCATCTGTCCAACCAATCCAAATTATCCCTAACGGATGCTTAGAGTAGTTATCAGCAAATTGAAAATCAGGGAACTTCCGTCTGATGTCAATCACCTTCTTAGGATCCTTAACTCTGGTTTCTAACAAAACTAATAATGAAATTTGACGGGTACTTACATATCGAAGCATATCATTATGCTTCGTGGGGCTATTGAAGCCCCTTGTATTCCAGGCGAGGATTGTCATTTACGCAGAGTAGCCACCTTGGTGGCTTCCCCCTTTTCCTTAAGCCCTCCCTCCCTGTCTTCTTTAGTGGAGGCGCCTGTAAACAAATATCCCTCGATCCACAGAGGACATCAAAAGCATTGGAATGTAATATGGGAATCGAACTCTTTTTGGATGATTTGGATTTCACACCATTGATGACCTTATTAAACTCTTCCTGCGACGGTAGTGCACTTGGTGTAACAGGTGCTGGAGAGACAGGCATCTCCTGGCTAGCAACAGGCGCTGGTGTTATCTCCTGACTCTCAACAATGGCTTTGCCCTTCAGTGTAGCTTGGAGAACTTGAGTTGCCTCAGATATCAGGCTCGTGGAAACAATTGCAGGCTCAATAGGAACAATCAGCGGGGTCTTCTTCCTCCAGACCTTCTTAGTATTAACTCCAGACGGAGGGAGTGAGCAATCATGCCCAAAGACCCCACAATGAACACAACACTTCGGTAAACCACAGTACTCCATATTGATAAACATTTCCTTCATATCGTCCGGAGTAATGCTAATCCTGTCAATCCGTGCTTTCTTTGCCTGAATCTCAACACAAATTCGCACAGTACCAAATTTCTCCCTACGAGCTGTGGAATGATCCATACATAACGGCCTACCTAGAGAACTGGCAATCCTCCCCAATCCTTTTCTAGAAGCGAGCTTAGTTGAAAGGCTCGAGAGCTTTACCCAAGTTGGAATAGCCGAGTTGTCGATCTTCATCGCCTGAATTCCAGGTTCCCAACGCGTGAGACAAATAATCTTGTCCTTGTAGTGCCACGGACCCCCCTCAAAAACCCAGCGACAAACCGATTCTGACGGAAACTGAAATAGGACAAGACGGTCCTCTAACAAGGAGACTCTTACCTCGCCTTCTTTGCCCCATATCCAATTTGCCCAGAACCTCAAAGTCGAAACGGATGGAGGTTTGGCCAAAAACTGACCTACAAGACTATGCTCCCATCGTTTTTGCACTTCCTCAATGACTGATTTAGGGATACGAAGGGATCCATTGATGAATTCGGGCTCAAAAAGCACTTCCTCCGCAACGTGAAACAGAGATGCCCAGGACCTGCCGCCGCCAACGGCGCCCGGCGAGGCCCCATCAGCGACGACAGTCATCGCAAGGGGAGAAGAAGAATTCAGAGCAAAGAGAGAATAGAGAGAGCTTTTTGTAATTCACAATTCAAGTCCGATAAATAACTTTAGAACAAGAAAATCATTCTCGTATAATAAAGGTGTGTCGCTCACAATTATTTGAGGTGTGTCGGAAGTCTTGAATTAAAATTTTTTGTACCAAAAGTATATAGGTCCTTCACAAAACTTCCGGGTGAGGGTGTGTCATAGGTCCGCCCCTGCCCCTGTGTAGCTTCGCAAACTCAAATTACTTGTTTGATCGGCTCAACAATTTAAATCGGTTTGACAATCTTGGTTAGTCACCCGGCCACCCCTTTTGACATCACTAACCAGTCAACTACTCTTATCTCCCTTCCGGATCTCCTCCGACCGTCATTTGTTGCCGTCGCGGAATCGTAACGAGTAACGCCAGAGACTATATCTCAATTCTCAACCGACGCTAATTATTATACTTCTCTTCCCCGTCGATGGCTTGACGATTCCCGTCGCGGCATAGGGCTTCGTAGGGCTTTTTCCCACCGGCGGAGCAGTTTCTCGCCTATCTTGGTACAATAGCAACCCTAGAAGCAAGATATCAGGTTATTACCATTATGTATGCTATGCTCCTTATTTGATTGTTAATCGATCTTCTCCTTGTTTGAATTGAACCTGCGCTGTGCTTGAGTTAGGCTTCTTTCGATTGTTCCTTTTTCTACTGTTCCTTGTTAGATTTGGAGATGCGTTGGAATTGTTAATTGTCTCAGAAAAAAAGAGAGCTAGTTGATCGAATCAACGTTGAATATCTTCCATTCTATTTCGCTCTTCAGATTCGCTTGTGGTTCGGAATCCGTTTCACTTTGTCTTTCTGGTTAAAATTGCACGCAATGATATCAGTGGACAAGCATTTTCCCTCCATTCTGAATGCTTCACTGGTTCGGCAGAAATCTGGCTAATGATCACAGGTTTTAATGTGTTCAGGTCTTCTTCCGACCAAGTATCTAGTTGGGAGAGTGAGATTGCTTATAATGGATAGAGAACTAGAGAATCAGAATGAAGAAGATGGTGATTTTGTACAATCCCCCACTAATTCACAGTCAGCTGATGAGAACTATGAGGAAATTGATGATGCTGAGGGAACCTTCCCACCGTCACAGATGGATGAACAGGATGATGAGGAATCTGAATTTCTGATGGAAAGCTCAACCCAGTTCGATTCGAGTGATGGCGAGAAGATCGAGGAAGGTGAAAATCTTGTGAAGGAAGCGACTGAACCTCAAACAGACGAAGAAGCTGAAGTTGTTGTGGAAGCATCGAGTAAAGTAGTAGGTTCTTCCAGAAGGACTTCTAAGTCGTTGCGGGCTAAACGTAACGTTGTGAAGAAATCTCCTGCTGGCAACTCATTTAAGAGCAGTCCAGTAGGCACTGCTGAAATTACCACGGGACCGACCACGGAGCTCAATTCAGGTGCTGATCAGATGATTGATGAAGGTGAGAACGTTGTTGCTGGAGTAAATAATAAATTTCAAACAAATGCGGAGAAGAACGAGGAAACTGAGGATCTTGTGGATTCATCAGATAAAGCAGAGACCCCCAAAAGGATTACCAAGCCACTGCAAGCGAGATCTAAAGTTGCCAAGAAATCTTATGCTGCCAACTTGGCGAAGAAAAGCAGTGCAATAGGCGCTGCTGAAATTGCCATGGAGTCCACCTCTGAGTTCAATTCACCTGATGACCAGATGATTGATGAAGGTGAGAACCTAGTGGAAGAAACTGTTGAACCTCTAACAGATGGGCAGAAGAAAGAGGAAGCTGAGGATTTTGTGGAAGGATCAGATAAAGCGGACACATCTGGAAGAACTTCAAACTCATCGCGGGCTAGATGTAAAATTGTTAAGAAAGCTTCTGCGTCGAAGACAAAAACTGCAGCAGCTACTGCTGCAACAGATAACAAACAACTGACGGGGAAAATTATAAAGAAGAAGGTTGTGCGAGTAGTCAATAAAGTAAGTGCTCAGTCTGAAAATGGAGTTGTGATGGGTTTAAATGCTGCTGAGAAGAAGGATCTTATTGCTGACATAGAGCGCGGCGAGAAAGACCAAGTGAAAGCCCCAGAGAATGAACTGATAATTGGCGAGTCAAGTAAGAGTCAAGAGGACCAAAAGGATAATGGCAATCAAACAGGTATTACTAGAAGGATTCGGAACCGGAAGAATAAGCGAAAGATCGATGGAGGGGCAGCAAGTCAAAATGTTGAGAAGAAGAAAAGGCTTGATACAAATGACGAAGCCCACCAAGATGACAATAAGGGGGAAAATGTGCTTGTGGTTGAGGACAAGCGCCCAAAAGATGAGAAGAGGAAAGGAAAGAATATTGCAAAGGATAATAACGGCAACCAAGATGAGAAGAAAGAGGAAATCGATGACAAGAGAAAGAAAAGTGCCCAAGATATGAAGGGTGAAAAACTTGGCGGTTTGATCTTTATGTGTAGCTCAAAGACCAGACCTGATGTTTTCAATTATGGTGTCATGGGAGAGACGATTGGTAAAAAGGAAATCGTTCGGAGTATTAAGCCTGGTCTTAAGCTTTTTCTCTATGATTTTGAGTGCCGAGTTATGCATGGGATTTATGTGGCGTCCTCTTCTGGTGGGATGAAACTAGAGCCCAAGGCATTCAACGGCTCGTTCCCAGCCCAGGTGATAATATTACCAACTTTTATCTTATGATACCCGTCTACATTTTACTAATCTCTATAGTTTTTCTTACTGACAATATCTGAAATCCAGGTGCGGTTCAGGATCTATAAAGAGTGCCACCCTCTTCCTGAGTCCACCTTTAAGAAGGCTATCAAGGAAAACTACAATAAGAAGAACAAATTCGATATAAAGCTTACAGTGCGACAAGTACGAATCTGAGTGCTTCATCTACCAGTATTACTACTATTTTCTTACTTTCACAATTTCATCTCAAACCCTAATTATGAAATCCCTGAACGAAAATAAAAAAATTGGTGTGGCAGCACAGTTAAGGATCAGCATTTTCATAACCCTTTTTACGCATTTGAATGGTTGCGGTCCTGTACATATGTGAGAGGAGATAATAAAAGTACAAAGAAGATCAGTTCGTCATTCTTCAAAATCCAAAAGACCCCTTAGACATTTTTCTTTGGCATGGCAATGTCTTCAGCATGACTGTTGATTGAAATTTATCTTTTTGTCTGTGATCAGGTCAGGAAGCTAATCACACTCTTCCGACCAGCCGCCTTCTCACCTCTGCAGTCAAAGCCACTGCCTGGCCACCCTGCCCAGCCAGCTACTCGGGACAGGGAGCCTCCTCGCTCCGATAGAAGAGATCATTCGAAAAGGGATGCATTCACTAAATCGAGAGACAGGTCCCGCAGGCGAGATCCAGCAACTAAATTGAAAGACAACAGGAGTAGGCAGCACCTGCCTGCTCGACGACACGAAACGGATCTCCATATTAGATCCAGGGAGCTATTGTCGCCACCCATTCAGAGAAGGGACCTGCCACCGCCACGAGAACGTGATTTGTACATGAGTGAAAGGGATTATCGAGCTTACGGCCTTCAATCGGACCGAAGAAACATGTCTCCTCCCCCTCGTCGCAATTTAGAGCGTGACAGGGAACGCGAAAGAGAACGGCTTGTCAGGCAGGTTGAGCTGCCTGTTTATCGGGATCCCATACCAGTTGAACCTCTCTATTACACTCGTCATCAGCAAGTGGGTGAGCCTTATATCCCTAGTGCTCGAGGTGGCGAATTGCACTATGGACCTTCTTCTTCTTCCATAGCTGCAACTGCATCTATTCCAACCTCTGGTTTGGACTCGTATGCAAGAGATTCATACTACCCGGCTGGGTACAGTTATGGCGCTGGCACTCCGTCTTCTTACCTGCCAAGCCTGAGGAGGGAGGTCGGACCGGGTTACTCTTCTTACCTAGCAGTCGGGAGGGAACCTGACCGAGTTGATCCGTTGCGCTCGAGTTATGCAACAAGTTTAGGCAGGTTATCTCATTACGATGATCCGAGATACTACTCAGACGCTAGTGCGGAAGCTGCAGCTGCCCCAGGTTTGTCACGATACTCGTTCGCCGGCCCATCATCTTACAGCTATCGATGACTGCTGGTATGGTTTTGAACCGTGTAACCTCTCTTTTCTTCATTTCCCCGGTGGCTGTTTTGACACTTTTGCATCTGCAGAATTTTATTTAATAATTTGTTCTAGCTTTGTGCTCCTTGATCGTTTAGGTAATAAATTGTTGCTCCTTGATCTTATATGCATTGTTTATCCATAGATTTACTAGCTTTGTGCTCGGGAAATAGGCCGATTCAGTTTCGGTAATTACATATGTATTTTATCTTATGTATATTACTTTATTTCCGATTCATCTATGTTGTTTTAATGAAATTTCTGAAAATTTTCCTGCTCTCTTGTGTGCAAATTTTATGGTCATTTCATGAGACATTGACTCGTTATTGTTTGATTTATAAATCAAACATGAAACACGATTTTTATTTGGTAATATAAGTCATACATGCTTTAAGGTAAACATTCAATCAAGAAATATGTTTTATCATAAAATTGTGATGAAAGTTTCCAAATTCGAGCATACCAACTAATGTTGGTTAATTATCTAATTTTGGCACATGCCCTTAATGGAGATGTGTAAGTTTTAGTGGAGGATCTTGCGTCAAGATCTATGAACAAAAACACCCAATTTGTTATAGCAAATGTATTGTATATGTTTTGTGTGATTCATATAATGGTCTCAATTGGTCTCATTCACAAGTCAACCAAATTTAAGGGTACATACATAGATGAACAAAAAATTGTAGTGTTGTATAATATGATATATGGAAGTGGACTGGAGCACCAAATAGTCGAACATTTCGTTGAACAGGTCGACCGCTTTCAAAGTGTGATGCCTATACCAACTTGTTGTGATACCGGTCGACCACCTTGTTGTACATGTTGATCATTTTCAAGGGAAGACGCCAACCCAATAAAATTGTTGTTTGTTCTGGTCTAGCCTCATGATGTGTAGGGCGGCCGGGTTTGAAGAACAGAAGATGTAGTACCCATAACCCAATAAAGTATATGGTTATTTATAGGAGTTCTTTGTGTTGATAGTACTACTATTTAAATGGTTCTGGTGTTCTTACTTCAACACAGATAAGCCATATTCAAAAAAAAAAAAAAAAAAAAAACACACACACACAGATAAGCCATAACAAACCAGGAACTTATACATCAGTAATAGAAAATAATTCTCTAGATTCCAAGTCAATGTAGTTTAGAGTTTTTAACAAAATCACCATAACAAACTCCTAATTATTTTTGTATTGCTTGTTTCCGTGGCAGCCTTTTCCTGGTTTTATTACTGTCATTTTCTCCCCCTTCAATGCAATCGGTGTGTTTGTTTCCATTTCCCCCTCCACAGTGATATCAGCTTATCCTGCCATTGTCCATTTCCCACTCTATTTTTCTCTTTTATACCCAAGTCAATTAAGACCATCCTTGTCATTTTTCACCACGTGGACAAAAAGAGGAACAATGTAATGTCAGTCTTTGTGCTTTTTTTCCTGGACAAATATTAATAGAACTAGCGTGGTCAGGAAGGTGAGGTATGAAATTTGATAATGTAATGGGATGTATAGTTTATTGTTGTATAGTTTTTTTTGGGAAACACGTGATAAAAATAGTGGATTTTAGTAGGAAAGAGATATGAATGATACAACGAATCAAAAATCAGCCTTATGAACCAAAATCAAGTACCTCTTACCTAGTGAAACAATATTGTTTCTGGTTATATGATGAAGTGGAGTAAGTTTTATAGAAACCGAATTCCAGAAAATTGAATAAAAAATTGCCCGGTTTTCGGGAAATGAGCATCTCACAATCGTTGCTAGCTTTTACTCGGCCCGTTGGCCGATTAATTTGCTTTATAAAACTTTCATCTTGTCCTCTTACCTTGTGAAACAATATTGTTTCTGGTTATATGATGAAGTGGAGTAAGTTTTATAGAAACCGAATTCCAGAAAATTGAATAAAAAATTGCCCGGTTTTCGGGAAATGAGCATCTCACAATCGTTGCTAGCTTTTACTCGGCCCGTTGGCCGATTAATTTGCTTTATAAAACTTTCATCTTGTCATCATTGTGTTTTCTGGTTTTTTGCCAAGCCATGATAAAATCTAAAGAAATCAAGAATGAACAACACGATTTGGGATAGGAACCACCGTTCCTGTATCCCTAGAAAATGGTGGTAAACACGCTGGCAAACTGGTTTGGATTGAGATTTTTATCGGGTATCAGGGAACCATGTGATTATAAATTAGACTTGATCAAAACCGGTCAAAACTTGAAATTCAATCTTTTTGGCCGACCCATGCCAAACTCTAATTCTTCTTTACTTTTAAACTTTCTATTTGAAAATAAAAAAAATGAAAGAAAAGAGATGACTGCAATTCGCCATTTGCACATCACTGAGTCGGGAATAAAACTATAGAATTTCGAAAGGAAACTGAAAATGTTTAGGATCGTTTTAATGTTAAAAATAACCAAATAGATCTTTCTGTTTAGTTTTTTTACTAACAAATACCAAACGATTCCCTATAATATACACTATAATTTAATCATTATGATATCAAATATTTACATAATATATTTGAAATGATAAAAATTTGACTAATTGGGTTGGTCGAGGTTGAACCATTGAATAACTTTAAAATACATTATATTTTAGCCACTAAGATATAAAATAATAGCATAATATATATTATGCTAGAGAAAATAGCTTGTTTTAGAATGCCAAACCCATGATGTTCATTTGTTTTACTTCATGGGCAAATCCCGTGTAGGTCAGGCCCATTCAACTCTTTTATTTTATGATTAGCGGTTAGCCCATTAGAATCCATGCATTAGTTTATTGTTAAATTTTTTTCTTTTTAGCAATAAAAAGGAGTATTGTTTTTGCCTTTTCATATATATTTTATCACCATGGAGAAATAAAAGGACTTAAAGAAAAAAATTGACACTCCGGGACCCGTTTAAATCCGCGTGTGTACGGTAAGTTGGCCCATTCCACAGAGGAAAAAGAAAAAAATTGACACTCCCTATTCTACCCTTCCTACAAACGCTCCTGAGCAGGAAATTTGAAATGGGGGAAGGGTTTTTTTCCTCTCTGCGATTATATGTTTTTAATTTAAAAAGATACAACAAATGTACTTAGTGTGATTGGTTATGATCTTTGCTTTTCTTTAAAGTGGTCATGGTTCGAATTCTAGTAAGTCTCTCTTTAATGAATAAAAAAAAGTAATTGTGAAGACCAAAATGTCCTTCCTACTTTCACTATGGATGCATGAAATTTGAAATGGGGTTTCAGGTTTTCTCATTTGACTTTTATTTATTGTATAGATACTCAATTTTGATTTTTTTTGAATTTTTTTTGTATTGGTGACGTGACGTCTGAATGGATAATGGACGAACATTTCTATTGGTCACCAAATTCAAGGAGTGTCACAAATGACTTTTAATGCTATACTTTGAGACACTTTTATAATTTTGAAGATTTCGTGTACAAATGATATTTTTTACAAAATTTGAGTGTTATAATGTATTTGTACTTGTTTCTTTATCCCACCTCAAACAATTCGGAATTTTTTTTCTTCAAAATACACTAGTTCTTAATTTTTTTCCTAAAATACATAAGTTATAAAAATAATTCACAAAGTACTCATGTTTCTCCATCAGATATGTGGTCGAAGACAGTGAAATTAAGAATCGCCGTATACAAGAACGGTGAATGCATCACCGTTTAGGTTAAACGCGGGGAAATATTTACCGTTGTGGTCCAAAGCAGGGAAGTAATCACCGCATTAGTCGACAACGAGGAGTACCTCACCGCTAACGTGTAATGCGGTGAGCCGTCAGATATGGGAAGAAAACCATAATCCGCGCCTCACCGTATCGGATTGCTACGGTTAAGGGGTGGTGGACCGGATAGTTGATGTGGACGAACTAGGGGCATTCACTGTCGTGGACGAACGCGGTGAACGCCCTACTGTCCACGTCAGCGATTCGCGTCGGTCTACCCCTTCAGCGCTGTCCTCGGATGTAGTGAGGCGCGGATTTTGGTTTTCGTCCCAGATCCGACGCCTCACAGTTTGCCACGTCAGCAATCCGCGCCCATTCACTGTCTTCGAGCAACGCGGGACCTTACCTGCATTGGACTGGTGCGGTTATGGCTCTGTTATGTTTTCCAGCAAGCCCTCCCCCCTCATTCCAAACCATATCACCACACATATTCTTCTTTCTCCCTCCATTCTAGTTACATTCTAAGTATGCTCTGTGGTTGCGGCTAAGTTTGATCTTCCGAATCAGAAAGAATTACTAGAGTTTTTTTTTTTACAATCCTCCGCTCTAAAATCCCGTCGATACTCTCTCCAGCTTTCGCCAAAAATGGACGAAAAGGCTCTGAGGGTACGTACTTTCTTTCCTTTTGTGATTTTTTAAATGGTAACGAAATAATCTGATTTCATTCAATTTTTTCATAGATGGGTGCCAAGATATATGGCCCTCGATTGTATATTGATCCTGGGCCAAGGGATACCGACCTCCAAATTGGCCGTCGGATTATACACTGGCATAGGGAGAAAGTCAGGGCCATTGTTCTGACTATATAAAAATTGAGATGGAACCTCTGTATAGTATGGCGTTGGTGGCTCACGGAACACCACCTCGTCGTCAATATGATGATATCGTCCATATCTTCCTTCTCACTGATTGATCTCAAATCTTCCTCACTTTCCTCGTCGCTGTAGACGAATGGATAGCTCGGGCCAGGCCATGACCAGCACCACCAACAACGTCTTCTCGCTCATGCGAAGTATGACTAGATCGAATGGTGTTCTCCACTATGGCCCCCAAGCAAACATTGAACACCCTCGGGCTAAACGAATGGGGCAGGCTCAACACGTTGCAGGTATTCTTCCCATGGCACCCCTCCTACAGAACTACCTCCTCCGTAGTTGCTTGAACTATCACCCCATCTGTAACCTCCTGCAAAACCATCATCATACGAATACTGGTGAGAATGAGTTTCACCGACCGCCTCGGTCTTAACATACAACTCTGCAAGTCACATCCGGTTGTCAGTTAGGAACTGTAACATCATGGTAACTACGTCATCATCATTTATGATAACTTCTTCGTACATAACCCCGCCAACACTCATGCTTGGATACCGGTAAGTAATTTTACCAACTCTCGTCTATCCGCCCATACAAATCTTGTCTGCACAAATGTCACGGAGTTCTTGCCACATGAATCTCGACTCAATTTTCAGCATTGTGGATTCGCCGTCTTCATAATCGATCCCAATGTCAGAGTTCGTCACCCGACCATTTCACCGAATAAGAAGCTGAAACTT